TCTCATGAGAAGAGAAGACTCCTTGTAAAAGACCTTGATGTTAGGAAAGTGTGAAGGCAAGAGGAAAAGGGGATGACAGAGGACGAGATGGCTGGACAGTGTCATCAAAGCCACCAACATGACTTTGACCCAACTCCGGGAGGCAGTGGAAGATAGGAGGGACTGGTGTGTTCTGGTCCATGGGGTCATGAAGAGTCGGACACAACTTAAGGACTAAACAACAACAACAACCATCCACACAGATTGCAGACAAGAGGGAGGGCCGCTCCAGCAGCCAAATAATTTTTTTAGGCAGTCTTTGAATATATAGATGGATGCAAAGGTTTTTAATGGAGTTGTCTTTTTTTTTCCCCTTGTTATTCGTGCTTTTAAAGAGGTTTCATTAAATACTTTTTAATCATTGTAATGTTTAATTGTTTTTTAATATTGTAATTTGCTATATTTATTTTTATTTTAACACTTTTTAAAATCTTGTGCTTTTAAAGAGGTTTCATTAAATACTTTTTAATCATTGTAATGTTTAATTGTTTTTTAATATTGTAATTTGCTATATTTATTTTTATTTTAACACTTTTTAAAATCTTAGTAAGATGCTTTAGGTCCACTGGGGGATTTCACTGATACCCTGTTTTGCTTGCTCCACTGCCACAATGGAAGCAAATACCGAAAGCTAATATGGCGCAGAGAAGTGGTTTTGCCAAGAATCAGAGAATTGTAGCGCTGTAAGGAAGGGATCTAGCCCAACCCTGCCAAAACAAGGATTCACACTGATATCCTTGTTATGCTCGTTTCCTATATATGGGTTGTTTTCGTATAAGCATTCAAATATTATATTTCTGAGTCTCCTGGATGCTGTTCATATTTATATTTCATTTTTTAAAAATGGTTCTCTCTTAGTTTTTGTACAATTTTTTTTACTGCTCTGTTGTCTTCCTATATGGGGTCTCTGTGGGATTTTTAAGTTTAAATTTCTGAACTGCTCAACAACAAGGATTCACACTGATATCCTTGTTATACTAGTTTCCTATATATGGGTTGTTTTCATCTAAGCATTCAAATATCATATTTCTGAGTCTCCTGGATGCTGTGCATATTTATATTTCATTTTTAAAAATTGTTCTCTCTTGGTTTTTGTACAATTTTTTCACTGCTCTGTTGTCTTCATATATGGGGGCTCTGTGGGATTTTTAAGTTCAAATTTCTGAACTGCTCAAGAGTGGTGTATGCACTAATGGAGTGATATATAAATCAAATAAATAAATTCCCCTCCCTATCCCATCATATGAAAGAGCAAAGCTTAGCAAGAGCTACGCTACCCTTTTTCAGAGAGATAACGAAGCTTTATGATCTGTCTCGGCCTCCATAGGGACATCCAAACATGGTTTTACTGCTGAAGAACGAATGCATTTAATATCTTTTTTGCCGTTTCCCCTTTCTGTGGTATAGAGAACACATTTCAGGCACGCACCCTTCAGTCAGCAGGCAGATTCTTCTTCTCATGAGCTAGGTCAGCTGTAGCAAATGCATGTTGTCATGTTCTCCAGAGCTGATTCTTTATGCATCGCCATGCACGTAATTTCTCGTACGCATCGCACGTGGCTTACGCGGAGTGGAGCCCCTTCACTGCATGCTTCTCTGATTTAACCCAGAGCTTTAAATTAGGAGGCCGCATGGCTGGATGGCTCACCTACATTCCATGGTTGATTTTCTAAAATTAAACAGTGGCTGGAAGGCTAGCCCCATCCATTCTCTAGCCCCCAAAAAGCCATTCTGCTCACTGCGCTCACAGATACGTAGAAGCACAGTGTGGTTATGATTCATGGCAGAGTGGGGAAAACACCCTCTATACAAACCGGGGCTAGCACCCTTTACCTTTTTGGACTACACATCCCAGTGTCCCTGCTATTGGGGGGATTCTGGAGGTTGCAGTCCAAAAGGAAACTCTTTCTTTAAAAAAAAACTGTGCAGGGATATTTAAGGTGTCATGCTGACCCTGGCATGGAACATATTTAGAGCACTGACCCTTGAAACGCTAAAAATAAGTTCTAGAGAACTGCTTTTTGGAACAAAAGTGGACAAATAGCTTTGGGGGAAATAGTTTCCCCTCCATTTTGATTTCACGTTAAAAGAAGGCAGGCATCTGTCCCTGTGTTTTATGGGCCAGAATCCTATCAGAGCTTGTATAAGGTTTGCATAGCTTGCCACAACTAAATGCAGTTAATGGACAAGAACCCTCAGTTGTTTACCTGATGGCATAACTGAGATGTTCCTTGACATCTCATTAATAAGATGCAATTAGCCACAAGTCATGCAAACTTCACGTGGGTGCCTTTTGGATTCCAGCCATTATTATTGCTGTGCCATTAAGTTGCTTCTCGTTCATGGAAACCCTGACAGGGCTTCCGATGTATATAAGGTGTTCAAGGAGTAGTTTACCAGAGTCAACCCTTGAGTGAGTTTCCACGGCTGAACGGAGATTTGAACCCAAGATCTCCTGCGTCCTAGTACCATCCTTTATTCATTGCACCACAGTCGCTTGTTGAGGGAGGCTTAACCTGAGCACGCTGACAGAGACCTTCATCATCTAGATCTAAACTTGTAGCTTGTAGCAGAGATCCACAGAGCGTGTGTGGAGTGCTTTTCTCTTACCACCAACAAGAGTCCTTTTTGAGAGTCTCTAGCACAGGGGCATCAGGAAAAGAGGAATACCAAATATAAGATAGATGGACTCCATAAAAGAACCCATGGCTTTCAATTTGCAAGAACTGAGCAACACGTTTCAGCGACCACTCATTCATAAGGCCGCCATGGGTCAGAGCCAACTTGACAGCGCTAACAACAACATAATGGCCATCGTTTAGCAGTTATTCCTTTATGAAGATGCAGTTTTCCTGGAGAAACTGGGGCACTTTTTAAAGAAAGGACCACCTTTTGCGTCTGAGCTTTGCTTTGGCAAAAGGGATAATGAAATGTCCGTTGTTGTTGTTTCCCCCCCCCTCCTTTGCTTTCAAATTGTGCTTCCAGGGAAATGAATAAACGGTTCACGGAAGAGCAAGCCAAGAAAACGTACGACAGAGCAATGAAGTTAGAACAAGAATTTGGAGAATATTTTACTGGTACGTGCGGCCTGGGAAGGCGTTTTGCGTTTTCATGAAGGGTGGTGGGAGGTATAATTTATTTATGACTTCATGGCCCAGAATACCTGTGCTCTTTAGAAAGGACGTGCAATCTTCCAGACCCACTTTGAAAGAGTGCGGCTGGTCTGGAACATGCAGGCCAACTTCTACATGGCTTTTTAAGACACAGAAAGGAAAAGGAGAGTCCTCAGAGACTTCCTAGCACAGTGGTTCCCAATTTTGGGTGATCCAGGTGTTCTTCGACTACAACTCCCAGAAATCCTGGCCAGCAGAGCTCATGGTGAAGACTTCTGAGAGTTTTAGTCCAAGAACCTCTGAAGACCCAAGACTGGGAACCACTGGTCTCTATGAAAAGGGACGTGGTGGCGCTGCAGGTTAAACCGCTGAAGCCTCTGTGCTGCAAGGTCAGAAGACCTGCAGTCGTAAAATCGAATCCACTTGACAGAGTGAGCCCCTGTCGCTTGTCCCAGCTCCCGCCAACCTAGCGGTTCGAAAGCATGCAAAATGCAAAAATGCGAGTAGATAAATAGGTACCACCTCGGTGGGAAGGTAAATGGTGTTCCATGTCTAGCCACGCTCGCCACGTGACCACGGAGGATTGTCTGCTGACAAAATGCTAGCTCTATGGGTTGGAAACGGAGATGAGGAACCTTTACCTTCATGGGGTCTCTATGAAGATGGGCAAAATTGTCAAGGGGAACCTTTACCTTCAAGGGGTCTCTATGAAGGCTGTAGGAAATTGCTGCACAAATCCAGAAGAGTTGTCCAGCCTTGGTCCTGACGAGAGGGAGAAAACCAGACATTTCTTATAATAAAACTATTAAGATTTTTGTTTGTTTGATTTTAATTTTAAAAAGCTAACCGTTAGTCTTCTTCCTTCCAGCTATTGTCCAAGGAGAAACCTTAGAAGAGATTTATAACCAATGCAAGCTCGTAATTGAAGAACACTCTGGGCCATTCATCTGGATCCCTTCCAAGGAAAAGCTATAAAGCAGCCCATTCATTTCTGATCATAACGGAAGAGTATTTAAAAGAAAGTTTAATCCTATCCTATTTGGAAGTGCCTAATAAAATTGGCATATATTGACTGGTCCATGGAAAAAAAGCTCACCATATAAATAAAATATGTTGCCATCCTTCTGCTGAGATCTGACTGAGGTTTTGTAGGCTTCAGCAGCTTCCATACTAACAAAGCTGATTGAGTGAGATTAGCTTTTATGTTTCTTGCAGTCGATGTGAATTTTTTCTGAATGTACAACACAAAAGTGTTTGAAGCCATGAAGGACATTGATTTGGTCGTGAAGGGTAGAGAGAGCAAAAAAAGAAAAGGGGGGGAAAAACCAAAAAAAATATTATGGAAAGACTTTTGCCATATAAAGCAACCAACCGTTATTCCGTGCTCGCCGCACTGGCTGATTAGGCAGATGTTTGACATGGACGCATGCAGTCCGGGAGAGAGAGCTTGTTGGTGGGCGTTCCTGCCTCCAAACCCGTATTCTTGGCTCAGCTCGATGTGTTTGGCGATTGCTTTTAAAGAAGATGTTCCCGGGCGTCTCGATCCTGCAGGGAGTCCCAGCTCTGGGACTCCAGTCGGTAAGACCAGCGTTTGAAGCAGACGTGGAGAAAGCTTGTGCCCAAATGGTTCTTTGAATGAAAAGCAGCGCCCCCCGCGTCTTGCGAGATAGTATCGTGCAGAACCTGATCCATTGTCCTCTGAACACTGTGGAGACCTCGAATGCTTTCCCACCTCCCCGGATTTTGGATCAGGTGCTGGGTTTAATCATAGCACATTCGTCTTTGCTACACCTTGACTTGCATATAACTATGCACATCTCTTTATTTTCCTGAAATCGATCAATAGAGCATTATTGCCCCTTCTCCAACCACATCCGACGACCCACCTTTTCATCAGGTTCTTACCAACAAAGTGGGTCCTTTCTGTGGGGGTTGTAGGGAGCGGGAAGCATTCTGCGTCGAAACATGTGCACCCAAAAAGCATGGGAGTTCAGGGTACTTAAAACTTGACCCAGAGTTAAATACAATTGGGAAATAGCTTTACCTTTATTTTGATGTCTATATTATCATTTATATAAAGAGAGAGGGTGCTTACAGATGGAATAATTTATTAAAGAATCTATATTGATGTATAGGCGCTAATTTCTATAGGTGACAAAATATTTTGTGAGATTTTGTAAAGATTAAGTAATTGAGAGGTGAACTATTTTTCACCCTTGGATGGCTGTAAAATGCAAAGGGGGGGATATGAAGTTGCACTATGCCATTATTATTGTTTCTCTCCCCCCCCCCAGCGGACTTCCTGATGCGATTCTTTATTGAGTTCTTAACGTTTTGTTTCGACTTCGGAACTTAGATGTCACATTCTCCTCCTTGTTTTGTTTTATTTTAATAGATAGCATCCTTGCGTGAGGCACTCTCTTAACCTCTGCTTAGAACAAAAGAAAACGAATCGGTTCATTAAAATAGATTCTCACCACCACCAAAAATAAAATATCAGTGGCTTGGATAGGCATTTTTCATTCTTGGGGGGGAGGTTTCCCAGCCTGGAGGTTGTGACAAAGGGGGTCCCCAACTGTTTTTTGGGGGCCGTGGGTCCCCTTATATGGGTTGTAGCCCTTGTAAATTTCTTTCTTGACTTTTCAGAGCCATATATTAAAGTTAATGTATGCCTGTTTTAGAGATGGGCAGAAACCTCCAGTTTGGCTGTCCATGCCAGTTTTGTTTGGTGGCTGAACGTGGGTTCAGTGCTTCGCAACCCACCTTCATCCTCCAGGTGCCCCCTCAGAGGTAGTGCCCTGAAGAGGTGGAGCTGGGAAGTGCCAAATATACATCTGGCCACTAAGTGAACAGGAACAAACCACTAAACTGTGGTTCATGCCCATCTCTATAATGTATGTATAGGAAACAGGGCCATTTGGGAGAGAAAGAAGCTTCTGCTTTCTGGAAAGAGATGACTTTATCCCAGTTTAAAAAAATGCTTTTGATGCAAATGTGGTGAGCAGGGTCGCAGGTTACTCGGTTATTCTAAAAGGGGGTTATGACACACACACTCCAAAAAAAGGTTGGGAAACACTGGTGTAGCAGGACTGCCAGAAGCGGGAACCCATTTTTGCTGGCAAGCCACTGATAAAATGTGTGTTTCAGCCACCCTGCAGAAGTTGGCAAAATAGTGGATAGCACATTACATGTTTGAGAGCAGACTGAGGGGTGTCCCGGGGGGAATCCATTCAGAGTTCCACCGAAAATCAGGACTTGGCTGAAATTTTGTTGCTTGGTGTAGGAGGTTGTGAAAGAGTAGGCCCATTCAGTCACTGGGGATGTGGTGAGTCATTGGGGCTAAATCCTATGAAGACATGATATTCAAGTGAGTTGCAACTAGAGTAGGCCCGTTTGAATCAATGGAAGTGGTAGATGATCTGATGCGCTAAGTCCCCAGTGATTAAATGTGGCTACTCTAGGACAACTGAACAACTGGATTTCAGCCATGTATGGGAGATCTGTTTTCAGACTCAACAAGGCTATACTACTCCGGTGTAAACCCAGTTGGTCCAAATCCTATTGGGACAGACTGCCCATGTCATGGCAGAGGTTATGCAATTTTCCGTCTCTCGATTTCACGATCGATTGTGTGACCACGCCCACTTCGCAACTAGAGAATTGTGGGACACACAACAGACAGACCATTGCTCCTTCTTACTTGTGCCCTATTAAACAGTCACATCAGGCAGTGGTGTTCTGGACACTGAATTTAGTGAACCTTATCCCAAGTAAGAGAGTCTTGGATTGCAGCCCATAATTCCCATTGTCCCTGGGGGTTGCCTCTAGCAAACTACTATTCAAATTTTGAAGTGCTGCTGATAGGAATGAATGTCTCGTATTCTTTAGCCATTCAAAACCAGATGATCTTTAAACTAACTAGCCTTTGTTCTGGAATTATTTTCTAAGGAGAAAGGAAAAACTGTCCCTTAGATATTGGGCGGTGTACCTTTTATGGCAGGGATGGGGTTCCATGTAGACCAGTGGTTCCCACCCTTGAGTCCCCAGATGTTCCTGGACTCAAACTCCCATAAGCTTTCACCACTAACAACGGGGGCCAGGATTTCCAGGAGTTGAAGGTCAAGAACATCTGGGGACCCAAGGTTGGGGACCACCGTTGTAGATGATACCTGGCCTGCAAGATCCTCAAAGCTGTGCCCTCCCACTGCCTTGAGCTAGCCATCACTGCCCTGTCCCAATGATTCTGCTGGTAAATGAGAGACAAGTGCCTTTTCCCAAGCAGAATCATGGTCCTGGCGGGCAGCCTGGTGTAGATTCCTTCTGGGACACAAGGCATGCATAGCCATTGGGCAGTGGTCCCCAACCTTGGGCCTCCAGATGTTCTTGGACTTCAGCTCCCTGAAATCCTGGCCAGCAGAGGTGGTGGTGAAGGCTTCTGGGAGTTGTAGTCCAAGAACATCTGGAGGCCCAAGGTTGGGGACCAATGCCATTGGGCATTGCCATGTTTTCTGGCTAGATTGCTGAGTTTTGGTGGCAATGGTGATAAGGGCAGGGCTGTGGGGCGGAGGAGCATGAGGTTGCGACCACTGGTGAGTTTCCGGGATTTGAGGCAGCCTTCAAATTCTTTAAAAAAAAATCCCACCCACCTTTGCAACTTGTCTTTGGCATCAAGAAAACATGTCACGGTTCAATTTTTAATCACATCTTAACAACCAACATCTCCTATTCCCTTCCCTAAAGCCTTTATAAAATTGCCCGAGTTTTGGGGGTGTTTATTTATTTATTTTTAATGTTTTCCATTCTCTTTTAATGATAACAGGCTAGAGAAAAATTGGCATTTCTATGCCACAGGGATAGAATGACTCTCCGTGCACTTGAGCCTCACGGATTTTTGTATCCAAGTTCTCTGAGTCTGAAATTTAAATGTCTAACTCAGATCTAAATAGCTTCTCTGTTTCCTTCATTTGACTGGGCAGATCTGATCCAGCGCTTATAAACCAACAGAGCTCCATACATGCAGTAACAGAAATGCTCAATCACGGCTTGAAATTTCTTGCCTGGACAGATACAATTACAGTAAGACCTCTGTATCTGCAGTGTCAGTATCCAAGCTTTCACGTATCCACAGTAGGACCCTGTATTTGCAGGGGATCGGTTCCAAGCACCACCACCCCGCAGATGTTAAAAAATGCAGATTATAGTGAACGCCATTTTAATAGCAAACACGGCATAGCATGGTCTCTGGCTTCTTCTAGTGGCCAATCATAGTAACTTCACCTTCAGAAATATATATTTATAGGATTTTAAAAATATTTTTTAGTTTTTTCAGACCGTGGATAAGTGAATCAACAGATACTGATCCCGCAGATAAGAGGATCCTGTATATAAAAATATTAAAAGAAAAAACACAGAAATGCGTTTCCACGATGTAGTTACCAGAACTGGCCACTAGAGTGAGCCAGGGACCATGCTATGTATAAGGTTCACTATTACCCTCCATGGGACCGATCCTGCACAGATAAGGGGTGTCAGCTCTGGGATCTGAAAGGGGGAATGGTTCTGTCAAGGTTGTCAGAGAGCTTGGAAAAGTAACTCTGTCAGAGGCTGGGAAAGTAACTTTTGCAGCAGTCACGACAGCAGAGGAATATTTGGGAGTCGTCGTGTGGAAAATAGCGTTTCCAAACTCTGAGTTACGGATAGTATGTGTGTGTGTGTGTTTTAAATGTAGCACTTCTTAAGACACAAGGTGCTTTGTACAGCCTTTGACCTGCCTGTCCTCACAACATGGGTCCTCAGATGATCCCCACTTTATACAGCAAGGAAAGGAAATGGGCCCCAAGAGTGTTCAGATTTGCCCAAGGCTATTTAGTAACGAGGAACAGGAGCATGCATTTCCTCCGTTGCTTGACTCACAGTTCACCGGGTCTGCGCCAGTGGGGAACATGGACGAAACTTTCCTTAAAGGAGGAAAACTGTTCTTTTCTTAGCGGTGTTTTGCTTCAGATAGGCTACCTAGTTACAGACCTGCAAAAAAGAGAGA